GTCGTCGCCTTTCTTCTGCCTTTTAGAGTTGGGAGGTTTAGTTGGAGTGTGTTCCTGGTTGATCTTTTCCGTCTTAGACATCTGTTCATCAGCTCCAACGTCAGTATAATTGCAGTCTCTATCTTCACTCACACTGGGAAGAGCGACCAGGCCGTAGTCATGTTCGTCCATCGTAGCTAACTTTTCGTCCACGTGTTAGCCCGTTCAGAAAAAACACTTGCAAAGTTTATATTTCGCTTCAAAACATTCACCAGACTTCTTAGAAGCTTTTCAGTTAACTCGCTGCGCGCAGCAGAAGCACATAAAATAACATTCAAGGACTGTTTACGAACTATTTACACCGGAGCCTGCAAGCTGCGACTGCTCACTCCGCCATCTTGAATTTGTCTCCCACCTTTTAAAGTAGATCGAATTGAGAACTTTGTCTTTTGACTCGGACCGGTGCAGAGCTGCTTCACTGCAGACACTGCGTAGTTAGATTTTAACATTTAAGATATTTCAATGATTTCAATAGTTTTCACATAACTAGTATAAAAGTGTCCTTTTGCTTGATTACTGCAATTCACTCTGACTACAAGTGGTCCAGAATGCAGCAGCACAATTTTTAACCAGTACAGGCAAAAGAGCACATTACTCAAGTTTTGGCCTCACTGCACTGGTTACCGGTTCACTTTCTAATTCAGTTCAAAATACTACCGTATGTCTACAAATCACTGAACAGTGATCCTGTATGCTCCACGCTAGTTCGTCATCATTATATGTATTGTTATGTCTATTCTGATTTACCTCATTTTGCTTTGTGATGTTCTGTCTGTACAGCACTTTGGTCAATGCCTGTCAACAAAGACAAGTAAAGAACAGAAGCTCTGAAGGGTATTCTTGTGTGGCCCTTAAAAGGACCTTTGGTTTGTTCAGGAAACGGTTGGGTTTAACCTCCGAAGCCGTACAGGGTTCTACCCTGTCTCTTCAGGGCGTAAACCACGTCCATGGCGGTCACGGTCTTCCTCTTAGCGTGTTCGGTGTAGGTGACGGCGTCACGGATCACGTTCTCAAGGAAAACCTTCAACACACCGCGGGTCTCCTCGTAGATCAGACCCGAGATACGCTTGACTCCACCACGGCGAGCCAGACGGCGAATAGCGGGCTTGGTGATTCCCTGGATGTTGTCACGGAGGACTTTGCGGTGACGCTTAGCGCCTCCTTTGCCGAGTCCTTTACCTCCTTTTCCTCTTCCAGACATTTTCACTGAAGCTCCGAAAAGTGTTAGTGATGAATCCAAGCCGGAGTCAACGACGTTTATGTCAGTACGGAGGACGTGTTAGAGGACAAGGGAGGAGCCAATTTTCTTCTTCTTTGGTGGTTTATTTTTAACGTTTGTGGGTTTAGTAGCGCCACCAAAGGACCAAAATTAGAAATTATTGTCCCGGTGTGCGTGCGTGTGCCTCCTTTTGGTTTGTTCATACAGTTAGAAAAAAGTCTCAAGAATCAATAAATTAATTTTAAACAGATTTTCAGAAAGTAATCATTGGGTCAACTGATTAACATACTGTAGAATCAGTCTATTTCAAGATGGCCTCCACAGCAAAGCAATCGTATCAAACACAAAAAGCACTGAAATGAAGGTGGTTAATTGTTTAACATAAATTTGAATTTACCAGTACTAATTCTGCATATTCTAGTTCAGGTTGTATTCACATAGATGGATACAAAATTATAGTTTATCAAGGAGCAGTTTCTAAAAATGTCAAAGAGAAATGATTCACAGAACCAGTTCAGTTTCACATTAATCTGTCAGTGTGCCGTCGTCATTTCTCTCTCACTTTGTTTGGTGATTTATTGTTAAACGATCATTATGCGTGAAATAAACAAAATGCGCAAACACGCTGTTTCTCTGCCTCACTAAAACGTTGGTTACGTACTGTAACCCCAGATTCTATGAGTATTGGCGTAGTCCTTTAAGGGTCAGGCCTCACTGGCTCCTAAATATCAGGTCTCTCTTGTAAATGAGTCCTCGAGGCTCAATGGGATTTACCTGTATAAATAAAGGTTGATTGAAATGGCTGAAGAAAAAGCTATTTTTGGGAGCCGATTTCCTGCTCTTAACGTAATTTATACGACCGGGTGGGGCCCACACAGCAGGTGGGCATATCGGGAGAAACCCACTAAGCGACAGCCTTAAGGATATATACTATACTCATAGAATCTGGGGTTACAGTAGTAACCAACGTTTTCAACTGTCCCCCTCTTACAATGCTGTTATTTTTAGTATCACTCAGCCCCCTGTGAATAGTAAACAGCCATCGGTGTGTTAATGATCCATCATTAAGCTGATGGTCCTTGTTGACACCATGTGAGCAGCTGGTTTTGGTTGTTGGCAGCAAATTGGTTGATCACTCTGAGAAGGTGCTATTTAAGAGACTGAGCTGAATACAGCGCCTCAGACTGAAGAAGTCTTTTGGATGAAAGATGAAATTGTTTCTATTTTTTTTTTTTGTTCTTTTGAATGTCCAGAGGACCAGATTGAATTTTATTAGATTGTTTTACATGGATTATTGAGCATGCATCAGGATAATCATTTTGTTGATGTCTGCAAATGATTAACTTTTTAAATAAACCTATCTCGTGATGGTTGTCACTTGCAAACATAAAAAGGAGAACTTTGTCTTACATATAATGAGCTATGTCTATGTCTAGAAATGTCTAGAAATATACAATTGTGTCTAGTCTAAATCTTCTAAGTATTTTGCAAATGTTGCTGATTTCTTACCCATAAGCTGCTGTATTTATATATGTATTTATATATGTATTTATACCCATCTGCTCACAACCAACTCATGTTGTGGCTGCTGTTTAATACATGTTTTATATAACATTATTATTGGTTGGTGTAAATATTAGTTCATTGTATAGTTTCTTTTTAGACTTTATATTTTTTGCTATTTTTGGGATGTAACTGGGACCTTGAGTACACAATTTCCTTCCACCTCATGTGATGCGAATGACAAATAATCTTGAAATAAATGTTTTGGAGGTGTGCGTTGGGGGAGGGGGGTACTTTGACTTCTAGTAAAAACAGTAGAAAATGCAAGAACGTTTTAAGAAAGATGGAAGTGTTTTTTTTTTTTTATATATATATATATTCATGCAGTGTTTTGGCGTGTCATTATTGAATTGTGGTATGAAAGTACATGTGCAAGATCTCTGAACAAAAATATGTAAAAAAAAAAAAGGATTAATAAGGTTTTCCCCATCTTTAAAAAAAAAAAAAAGTATTTCACATAGCCATTTCCTCTCGTTTAAAAATGCCTCAAGGCAATGTTGTTTGTGAGAGTTTACAATAAAAAATAAAGTGGCATGTTTAGTTTTATCACTGCTGTTGTTCAACGGGTTTTTTATGTTTGCAGCATTTGTGGTTAAAATAAAGTCTTAGTCAACTTTGATGAGCTTCTGTAGGAGTTTAAACTAAATGAACAAAATATTTAAATGGATGAATAAGATGAGAAGGTTCAATAAACAGATGCAGCTCTTTCAGGGGGTGTTGGTGGCTCTTAGAAGAGCCGTTGTGGTTGATGGGTGGGGGGGGGGGGGGGTTCAAGCTCCCCCTCCCCGGATCCTGCGGGCCAGCTGGATGTCTTTGGGCATGATGGTGACCCTCTTGGCGTGGATGGCGCACAGGTTGGTGTCCTCGAACAGACCCACCAGGTAAGCCTCGCTGGCCTCCTGCAGAGCCATGACGGCCGAGCTCTGGAAGCGCAGGTCGGTCTTGAAGTCCTGAGCGATTTCTCTCACCAGGCGCTGGAAGGGCAGCTTGCGGATCAGCAGCTCCGTGGACTTCTGGTAGCGGCGGATCTCTCTCAGAGCCACGGTACCGGGCCTGTAGCGGTGAGGCTTCTTCACGCCGCCGGTGGCCGGGGCGCTCTTCCTCGCAGCCTTGGTGGCCAGCTGCTTCCTGGGGGCTTTGCCTCCCGTGGATTTACGGGCGGTCTGCTTGGTTCTCGCCATGACTCGGACTTTCTGTGCAGAGGAGAAGAATGTGCTGCAGTCAGAGGAGAAGCTGCTCTTAAAGTGTGGAGCTGCTGACGAACAGTGACGCTGCTGCCCAGCTTCAGATGATGATTGGTGCGCGCCGGAAAGAGCGCTGCTCATTGGAGCAAACGTGCGCACGAGGAGCGCGCTCACATTCAAACCTGTCGGCGCGCTGCTCCGAGCTCTGCTGGTTGGTTGTCACGAGCCGTCCCGCCGCTCGGCGCACATATAAGGAGACTTTGGCTCCGGGTCCCGACACAGTTTCTGGACATTCAGAAGAGTAATCATGAGTGGAAGAGGTAAAACCGGCGGTAAAGCCCGAGCCAAGGCAAAGACCCGCTCGTCCCGTGCAGGTCTGCAGTTCCCCGTGGGTCGTGTCCACAGGCTGCTGCGCAAAGGCAACTACGCGGAGCGCGTGGGTGCCGGAGCGCCGGTGTACCTGGCTGCTGTGCTGGAGTATCTGACGGCTGAGATCCTGGAGCTGGCTGGGAACGCTGCCCGGGACAACAAGAAGACCAGGATCATCCCCCGTCACCTGCAGCTGGCTGTCCGCAACGACGAGGAGCTCAACAAGCTGCTGGGCGGAGTGACCATCGCTCAGGGAGGAGTGCTGCCCAACATCCAGGCGGTGCTGCTGCCCAAGAAGACCGAGAAGCCGGCCAAGACCAAGTAGAGACCCGGAACCACAACGGCTCTTTTAAGAGCCACACACCCAGTCTGCAAAGAGCCACAATACTCTTTTTGTTCCGTTAATTATATTGGCTAATATTTTATAGATCATTATTATTTAATATTTATATATTATTTTATTAAAATGTAGGAAAACATGTATCTTTCATCATAGGTGACTAGACTTAAGTAAAATTAAGGTTTTCTCTAAAAGTTTTAATAGAAAAAAGGCAATTACTGTGTAATTATTATTGATCATGGACTTTGTTGTAATTACTGTCTTTGCCAATTTGAAATATAAATGTGACAGATGTCTCTTCCCTTTAAATAGTTTTTCTTCTCAAAGTGATCATACAATGCACAAATTACACAAGAGTATTTGACAAGTTTGACATAAAATTCCAGAAAATGAAACTTGAACTTGTATTTTTTTTTACATCTAAACTGATTATTCTCAAAGTGTACTGACGTATCTGCTTTTTAATTTAACATTCATCAAACATAATTAACGTGTGTGTGCATGTGCTACATGTAATGAAGAGACAGCAGCTATAATCTGAGATATTTATGTCAATGTTCAAGTCGGTTTGTGAACTATTGCAAAGAAATAACGCTAAAGTTGTCCTTTTCTGGTTGAGATTATAAAATTAACCTTTGAATGTTAAAGATGCATATAAAAAAAACATAATTCTGAGAATACAGTCAGTATAATATTTATATATATATTATACATATATATTATTTATATATATATATATAAATAATACACACATATATATTATATATAAATATATTATATATATCCATCCATCCATTATCTTTACCCGTTTATTCCATTTTGGGGTCACGGGGGTCACCGATGCCCATAGGGGCGGGGGACACCCTGGACGGGTCGCAAGTCCATCACAGGGACACATAGAGACAAACGAGACAAACAACCATTCACTCTCTCACTCACACCTAGGGACAATTTAAAGTTACCAATCAGCCTAACATGCATGTTTTTGGTCTGTGGGAGGAAACCGGAGTACCTGGAGAAAACCCACGCATGCACGGAGAGAACATGTAAACTCCACCCAGAAAGGCCCCTGGACCGGGGTTTGAACCAAGGACCTGCTAGCTGAGAGGCAGCAGCTCTACCAGTTGTGCCACCGTGCTGCCCATATATATATATATATAT